AAGTGACACACACGAAAACGCACACTAACCCCACATCATTGTCAGGTTTAGATTTTCATCCACATTTGTCACTTAGTGAAACCTGTTGGAGTGTCAGGTCTTGTGTGTCCTGGCAGGGAAGACCCAAGTGTTAACCAGATGTTCCTGTTACGATAACACCTGGATGCCCAGATTGAGGCCATAATTCCACTTTAGCACAAGTGAAGATGTAGAAATTTTCAGTAATTGTTTGTAGCACAGTGCAAGGGTTGAGACTGCTGAGTGCTGTAAAATCTGAAGAATACAGAGGCAGGGGTTATTTTTTAATTTTTGATGCCTAATGATAAAGAAAAGATTTTTATTTTTTTTTCAGAAGAATCTAACCTTTTAACTGTCAGTATAACCTGGTAGCTAGCTGCCTTCAGACACTGAATGGTCCAGGGGCTGGGCTCTTCTTAGGCACTTAAACAATTTAGCTTTTGCATTGTGCTGGGGGGAAGACTGGGAATGTGCCTGCAGGGTTTTGTGAATGCCAGGAAGATAGGGTTTTAAAGAACCTGGGATCTCGAAAGATGCAGAATAAAATCGCATCACTTCTGACAGCCTCAACAGGACACTGTGTGCAAGACAGACTGCCTGGTTTATTTGGACCTGTTAGTTTTTTAGTTTGTTTTGCTTTCTGTATTGAACAGCACAAATCTCCTGTGATGTATTAGTGAAAAAGCTGGAAGAACATCATCACCTTCTGTTTGCTTCTTTATCTTTCTCTGGTACAAAAATAACTTTTTTCTGTCTAGATTAACAGAGCAGTCTTGTGATACGTGAGTGCAGATACCTGCATGCATGCATGTGTGCATAGGTGTGTGTGTGTACATGCACACACGTACATGAAGCACTCCACCCAAAAGTCCTGAAATCAAACAAAGCCTGAGACCCCTGCTGTGCACCAAATCCTCTTGCAGTTCTGATGCGTGCATAATGCGGGCAGTACTTCTTCCTCAAAAAGGTTTTCTGTGCCCCTCTGTTTGCCTGGTTTTCTGAGAAGCAAGCAGAGGTGAAAATCATGTTAAAGAGAGGCATCCCAGCTCTCTCACCTGACTGAAGGAATCGGCTCCAGGTTCCCCTGCAAAACCCACGTGCAAAACGCAAAGCTGCTAATTTGCCCTTTTTTTTCTTTTTTTCTTTTTTTTTTTTTTAATTTTTTTTTTTATTTTTACCCTTAAGGTCTTCAGTGGCTTGAGATACCTTTCTTTGGGGCAGCAGTTCTTGCAGAAAATTCAGTCATTTCATCAAAGCCCCAGACTCTGGAGAACATGGGCTGTGCCATCACAGGGCTGCTTTTCAAGGAGGCATCTGTGCTTAGCATATGGCAACTATTTATTATAGCTGTTGCATTGAGAAAAAACAATTCCCATGATAATTGTTTCTCGTATATCAAGATGCTTCAATCTCTGTTTCCCACAACATTCTGCTTGTCTGGTATGTGTGTGCCAATGTCACCACAGTCCTCGCAGACAGTTGTCTACGTTTTGTCATTACTGAGGGTAAACAGACATGACTTGAGTGGGAAGGAGAGCGGGGGAAGTGGACTGCTAATTTAGTCTGCCTTTAGTACTGCACTGTGAAAGCAGCACTGAATGATTTGCGGGCAATATTTACAAATCTCCCCTCCTTCAATACATCCATCGCTTTTTCTTCAAGCACACATTGTTTAAGGGCATTAATGCTTGTTATTTGCCAGCCTGCAGTACAGACGATGCTTGGTTTTGCAAAGGGATGGGGTGACTTTTCCACCCCCTCAATCATCTACTGCTCTCTTCATTATTCCAGAAGAAGAACTCCTGTGTTCCCTTGAAAATACATAGCATACATGGACATTCACACATGTATGAGTGCACTTTCAGCACTATATACAATATACACCTTTTGTCCTTTTATATACAGTGATCACATGCATACCTTTCATATGCTAGATGTCAAAATCCCTAAACATACACATTAAATATTAAAAAAAACAAAGAGAGAAAAGGAAAGAAAGAAAAAAAAGGGAGGGAGAAGGAAGGAAGGAAGGAAGGAAGGAAGGAAGGAAGGAAGGAAGGAAGGAAGGAAGGAAGGAAGGAAGGAA